GATAGAGAAGGGGTGTGGGTTGTGGAGGAGAGAGTGGGAGAGGAAGAATGCCAGGACGGAGCACCAGGTACCATTATAGTGGCAGAGAAAGCTCCTGAAATACTAGAGTCGGGGCTCGCGCTCTGATCAGGACGGCAGTGAGCACAATTACCTTCTTTTCAAATCCTTCAGTGACACTGCAGGAGGAAGGAGGACTTTGAAAGTTGAAAGGCAGGAGCTTGCTTTCAACCTCAAACGCGAGCAGGAAAGGGCTCTGAAATTTGTTCAGTGCTCCCCATCCACCATTAGGTTGTTTCTTCCTCTTGCCTCCAGGCATTTAAGCGCTTTTTGAAAAGATGTTAAGAAATTCAATCACCATAGAGAGAGAGAGTGAGGGAGAGAGGGAGTGGGATAGTTCTCTTTTTGAGAGGCCTGCTTTCCTCTGGTCCACAGAGAACTGGCCGGCTGCTTTTGTGTTGCGCTGAATAGAACTGCTAACTGGTAGATGACTAGATGCAACAACCATGGGAAAAGAGGGGGAAATAGAAGAGGAATGAGAAATAAGGTTGGGCAGATGGGAGCGGGTCTGTTGGGTGGATGGTCAGACGTGGATAGGTGTTGCTCTGTCCAACTTTTTAAACTTGGATATGTTTGCTTTCCGGTCTTCATTAGGCACTTTTGATGGAAGCTTGACAGGTTAGACATGCCACAGGACGTTTTTCACTTCAGGAGCCTGTACCGAGAAGTGCAGTCAGCAATGAGGGCCAATAGGAAGAAGGCAGCAGGCAGAGAGTTGAAATAACTTACTCCAATAATTATAATTCAGTAAAACTACTACTACTACTCGAAATGCAGTAAAGACAAAATGGACACACAGACACATGGATACACAGACACAAGTACAAACATGTAAAGGGTGGGGCAGCCAATCACCTGAACTGACAGTCGCACTGAAAAGAACCAATATATCAAAATAAAACCAGGTAAAAGTCATCAAAAAGTCCACACCATGACACTAGTAGGTTAGACCAGGAATGCCAAAACTTTTCTTACTCCACAAGTTTAAAACATATGTGTCAGGGCCCAAACTTATGAATTATTTTCATAAAAAATATCAGTCAAGATATTTATGGCTAGCTCCTGTAGTTTTCTTGTCTTGGGAAGCTCTCACAGCTCCAGAAGAAGCAAAAAGGTCCCGTCGCTCCAGGCCTTTCTCTCTGGAGTGTACGTGTGGTGTCTGAATAGGTTTCCTCCGGGCGCTCCAGTGGTCACTGACAGAGCACTGGTTCCACCACATCACAAAACACTTAATAGGGATTTACGACAGAATGTATTGGGTTTGATTCCTCGGCTGGTCGCTCTGTTTGGAGTTTGCATGTTCTCCATCTCTGGGCAGGTTTCACTCATACAGTACCTCACAGCAAGAAGGTCCCGTCGGTGCCTATGTGGCATTGGAAGGATTGGTGGTGCATGAAATCAATGTGATCTTAATGGCAGAATTTAGAAGAGAGAGAATGTATATATCAGTACATTCTCTCTCTTCTAAATCTATCCCATTTAAAGTGTATATTTTTGACTTGACCCCTTCCCCTGGTGTTTCTTTTACCATTTAGGGGTGAGGGTCCTCAAATGAACTCTTTAATGTGTGAGATTGTCCCATGATGAGCCCCCCGTGGTCTCTGGTGGAGGACAGCGATTGAACTATTATCCGCTCGACCTCTCCATGTGGTCGCTCGACTGCCCGGGTCAAGGGCAGAAAATAAGTGACATAATTGATTTGATTTCCGAAGTAGACAATTGTGAAAATGATAGTATTAGTATTAGTAGTGTTAGTATTAGCCTGGTCTTAAAAATGTGTAAACTCTGGTCCATGATCGTAGTAAAATAATCTGTTCTGGTTTGATCCAAATATCAAGAAACTGAGCTGGAGCAAGAGGAATGTTTAGTAAATGTCATTGAAGCAAAGATGTTGTGGCTCTACTCCCCACGGGCTCCGTTGGGAGTAATGCTAACGCTAGGCTAAATGCTAACGCTAGGCGAACTCAGATCCAATCCTTTCAATCTGTAAAGAGAGTTAGCCCCTCCCATGTGTTAACGGAGTCAATGAAGCAAATCCAGACCTTTGTATGAAATGAAATGTGTACCGTGGTGTGGTAAGACCAGGCTAGTATAGTATACTAATAGTAGTATTCTGCAGCCTGAGTCCTGCACTGCTTGGCCTTGGTCTTTGTTCTGCAGCCTGAGGTTTCTCACCGTTTCCTACTGGGTTTTAGTTTTTTCTGGTCTAACACAAGGACAGTGATCCAGGATTTATCTACATTTATGGACATTTATTTACATTTATGGACATTTATCTACATTTATGGACATTTATTTACATTTATGGACATTTATTTACATTTATGGACATTTATGAACATTGTTCTCTGCCCCTTATGGACCAATGTGTTTTCTATCATTGCATTTCTTTTGAACAGTTTGATTCTCTGATCTGTGTTGGCGAATCAACAGTTGTATAAAGTCCTCTGAGATAACGACTGTTGTGATTTAGGGCTATACAAGAGTAAATTGAAGGGAACTGAGTCTATAAAGTGGATACGAACGCTAATCTCCCGGGCTGTGTGTTGTGGAAGTTTTTCGAGACATCAGTACTTGCTAGAATAACATTTACACCCCCTCCAAGCCCAGCGCGCAAAGTCTATTTATAAAACATCAAATATCTCTATGAACACAGGGAGAAAGCGCTCATAAATAAGCAGCGGATTCCTAAATGTAATGTTAGATTTGCTACACGGGGAAAGCCTATGGGCCGCAGGTTTACCCTGTCAGGAAAGCCATTCTGAAATCCCTTTATGTTAATATTGAGCTTTGCACGAGCCTGAACCTATTAATCCAGCTTTAACCGTATAAGTGCCATTATTCCCTTAATACGATCACGGGCTGTGCAGTATGGGATTAAATACTTATATCATAACTGACGCCGTCATTTTCCGCGGATGGGAGCCTCTGTGGTTGTCAGTTCCGCATTAAAATAGAAAAAAAACATCTGTGAATCCGGTGCCAGGGCTGCGCAGGGACGAGGCGAGGCCAAAGGCAGGTAATGGGAGAGAGCAGAATGTTAGGCCTCTGTGTGGGTTTGTGGTGGCAGGATGCTGTAGCTGTTCCCTCTCTCTTTCTCTCTCTCTCTCTCTCTCTGTCTCTCTCTCTCTGTGTCTCTCTCTGTGTCTCTCTCTGTCTCTCTCTGTCTCTCTCTCTCTCTGTCTCTCTCTGTCTCTCTCTGTCTGTGTCTCTCTCTGTGTCTCTCTCTGTCTCTCTCTCTCTCTGTCTCTCTCTGTCTCTCTCTGTCTCTCTCTGTCTCTCTCTGTCTCTGTCTCTCTCTGTCTCTCTCTGTCTCTCTCTCTCTCTGTCTCTCTCTGTCTCTCTCTGTCTATCTCTGTCTCTCTCTGTCTCCGTCTATGTCTCTTTCTGTGTCGCTCTCTGTGTCTCTCACTCGCTCTTTCTCTCTCTGTCTCTGTCTCCCAGTCTCTCTCTCTCTTTCTCTTACTGTCTCTATCTGTCTGTCTCTCTCTCTCTCTCTTTCTCTGTCCCTCTCTCTCTCTCTCTCTCTCTGTCTCTCTCTCTGTCTCTCTCTCTCTCCCTTTCTCTGTCTCTCTGAAGTGGTCCGTTACCCCAGCGCTCTGTCCTCTGCTCTTAATTGTCTGTTCAGTGGTTTTCATTCACTCGCAATGAGGAGAATTGGATTGCAATATCAACCAATGAAGTGGGCACACAAGTTTACATAAGTACATAAAGTTAAGGTCTTGGGAGAAAAAATATCAGTTTTAAAAAAGTTTGGAATTTTAATTTGGAAAAAGAGCAAGCACCCTGTCATAAGAATCTCAGGCATCACAAGTCAAATCTCTGTTGTCCAATCACCCGGGGCTCTCTGTAATACTTGTATCTTATTGCATCCTGGACGACAAAGCCTCTGCACATGTAAGTTAGACCCTCAGAGGCCTCCATACATGTGGGGTGGGGGTCGAGTCCAAGGGCCAGAGGTCGGAGCTGCATTTCGGAGCTTAGCCCTTGAACTCGACACCACATTTATTCCCCTTTACCAGCGTGTCACAACCCAGTCCTGAATTAGCTCGAAGAGATTTTTGTGTGACAGCAAAAGAAGAAGGGGAGGGGTGCGAAGAAAATTAGGTAAAACATGGATTTCTTGTTGAACTAAATCCTCCAAAAAATGCTCTCTATTGTAGTTTTTAGTGTCAGTATTTTGATACTATGGCTGGGAAATGGGAAATGTGAGAATTTGATAGTATTGCGATATTTAAGCCACAATACAGACATTATTGCGATTCGATTCTGTGATATATTGCATGTCCCTCATATTATTCATTACAAACATGGAGGAAAAGCAGACATCATAGAGTCACACAAACCTCAGACCAAACTCAGAGAAAACCCAAAAGTGAAGCAGTTGATTATTATATTAAATATCACAATACTTTGTTCTACTGTATCGATTTAATTGCATGTACAATATATCGCGATACTGGACAGAATCGTTTTTTTCCCCCCACCACTCAAATAAACCCCAGATTGTACTTTTACGATAATTTTTGGCTTCAGTAAGGTATTTCTCTTTAGCCAAAACCCTTTCAGTCATTAGTTTGTGCTTTTTAGACTATTGTAGCCTGAGGGAAGACACAGAAAAACTTTAAATCAACTAAAACTAACGCATTTAGCTTCAGGTGCATTTATAATAGAGGCGTAGACATAGTTCTGCCTCATGCGTCCGCCCTTTCCTGGGACTTCATTGTGATCAGTTCCATAAACGTTTTGAGTTTTATGTTTTTATTGCATGAAATATAGAGACTTAGCCGTTTGCCTTTTCTCACCGTTAGCCTCTGAGCTCCCAAATACGGTTCTCTGGCTCTGGATGAACTCACCGTAAAACCATAACGTACTACAGCTGTACAAACCTCACCTCTTCCTTCTTCCACTCTCACACTTTCTTCTTCTTCTTCTACTCACAGAGGACGAGAGTTCAGGGCCGCCGTACCATCGCGAGCGGAGGAACGCCATCAGCTCCGAGGCGCCGTCAGACCGTGGCGTGACGGAGGAGCCTTCCACTTCCACAGAAGAGCGCTCCTCACACCTGAAGAAGGAGCTGCACAGTGCCCTGCCACACCTGCCCGACCATGCCCTGCCGTACCGGGGCACGCTGTTCGCTATGGACCCCCGCAACGGCTACCTGGACTCCCACTACTGTAAGTACCTGGTTTATCTCTCTTTCTAATGCTAAGTGTGTTTGAGGGTCATTGGGATTCTCTCGTAGACTTTGGCTTTGCTCGTCCGTGTAAGAATGTTTGAGTGAGAAAGTCCCAAAGATTACATTTTTACATTAGAGTGCTATTTTTAGTCAAAATAAAATTTTTTTTACTGTAGAAAGCCTTCTTTAATGCAAATATCAATACCTACTTAATTAAGTAAGTAAGTGTTTATTTCAAACTTGTATTTTTCATACAGCATAACAAAACAAACAAGATACAAACATTCAATAAAAAATAAATAAAAACAGTTTAAAAAGGGGTTGGACGAAGTAAATGTTTTGGGCTCCAACCTCCCTCGTTCACACAATACAAACATGCCCAAGTTTCTCAAGATCCTCCTTGGACAATAAAAAATTACACTGATCTACTTCAGTATAGACACCATAGATACCATAGATACCATAGATACCATAGACACCATAGACACCATAGACACCATAGATACCATAGATACCATAGATACCATAGATACCATAGATATCATAGATATCATAGATATCATAGATATCATAGATACCATAGATACCATAGATATCATAGATACCATAGATACCATAGATACCATAGATACCATAGATAACATAGATATCATAGATACCATAGATACCATAGATATCATAGATACCATAGATACCATAGATACCATAGATACCATAGATACCATAGATAACATAGATATCATAGATATCATAGATACCATAGATACCATAGATACCATAGATACCATAGATACCATAGATACCATAGATATCATAGATACCATAGATACTATAGATATCATAGATATCATAGATATCATAGATATCATATATACCATATATACCATAGATATCATAGATACCATAGATACCATAGATACCATAGATACCATAGATACCATAGATATCATAGATACCATAGATACCATAGATACCATAGATATCATAGATACCATAGATACCATAGATACCATAGATACCATAGATATCATAGATACCATAGATACCATAGATATCATAGATACCATAGATACCATAGATACCATAGATATCATAGATATCATAGATACCATAGATACCATAGATACCATGTGAGTTTAGCAATACCTCAAAGAACAGAATTCCAGAAAAGTGTAATGGCCTTCTCTCTCTCTCTCTCTCTCTCTTTCTCTGTCTCTCCATCTCTGTCTCTCTCTCTTTCTCTCTCTCTCGCTCTCTCTCTCTGTCTCTCTCAATCTCTGTCTCTGTCTCTCTCTCGGTCTCTGTCTCTCTCTCTCTCTTTCTTTCTCTCTCTGTCTCTCTCTCTGTCTCTCTCTGTCTCTCTCGATCTCTGTCTCTGTCTCTCTCTCTGTCTCTGTCTCTGTCTCTCTCTCTCTCTTTCTCTCTCTCTCTTTCTCTCTCTCTCTGTCTCTCTCTCTCTGTCTCTCTCGGTCTCTGTCTATGTCTCTCTCTCTCTCTGTCTCTCTCTCTCTCTCTCTCTCTCTCTCTCTCTCTCTCTCTCTCTGTCTCTCTCTCTCTCTCTGTCTCTCTCTCTCTCTCTCTCTCTCTCTCTCTCTCTCTCTCCATGCTACATTTCAAAGTAATAGTTTCCAACATCAACTGACCATAACTTACACACAATAATCTCACTAAATGGAGCATCACCTGCCAACCAATCACAGTGGCCTTATCTAACTTAAAAACAGTTTTACTTTTTCATTTGATAGAAGTGAATAGTGTTGTGGTCTCTCCATGTCTGTGATTTAGTGTGATTTGGGAACTCCATGCTACATCTCAAAGTCATTGATTTACACAAAAAGATGTTCTAGTCCAAGCAAGAACAGGTTAAAGTTAGACATGACACCAACCGACCACAACCCACAATAATCTTAGCTTCACCATAGACCAACAATCACACATCCACTCAAACCCTCTCTGCTTCTCTGTGTTTGGCCCGGGAAGTTTAGTATGGAGCGAACAGGCCCCGGCGCTGCTCCTTAATTCCCTCATTAGGGGCCTGTCTGAACGTGCTACTCCACTTTCTCTCATCAACGTGCACATCAAAGCCCCCACAGCGGCGGCGGCGGCGGCGAGTCCAACCCCTCCACCCCCTAACACTGCCTCTCCGTCTCTCTCTGGGACCTCTGCGTGAGAGAACCAGAAACTAATGGATGATGCTCGAGAGATTGGCCCTGGCGAAACCGCTTTGAGCAAGATACCGGCGATTATTTCAGGGGGGGGTGTGTGAGATTGGCGTTGGTAGCTGGTAGAAATTGGGTGTTGGAGGAGAAAGAATCAGGAGATAAATGATGCTGGAGTAAGGAGGTGATTAGGGGAGGTTAATTCAGCAGTGACTATAGCCAGGACTTAGCCTGGAGACAAGGATTCGATGTGATGGCTTGTTTAGTTTGGTTAAATTGGCTCTGAACCGCGGCTGTACCAAGACGAGGACTGAGCGATCTTAATTCAACGGCTGTAATGAAAACTCCAATGGACCCCAACCTTCTGTTTTAACTGTAACTCTATTTACCTTGGCACTTCATTAGTTACTTGGGTGCCTAACAGTTACAAGGTTGAGGGGGGGAAAAAGAGGTTACTTAAAAGCTAGACATCGGTGGTGGGGGCAAAAGACCCTGGAGGGCGAGACATTACTGCCAATTACATCCTGACCTAACTCAGCACCACTGCCACTTCTGGTTTTACGCGTTTGCGAGGAGCATGTGTGTGCGGAAAGAGGGTTCCAAGTCACTGGAGCCTGCAGCGGGGTGTGTGTAGCAGCACTGGTGCCCAGGGGAGAGGAGGGGAGGGCAGGGGAGAGGAGGGGGTCACGGCCAGGCTTAGGGTCATGTGGAAAAATCACAGGCTGAAATGGTGCAGTTCAAAGGCAGCAGGAGAAGTCAAAAGGGCCGCGGAGCTTTAAGAGGCTTTCTTTGTGCTCCGAGACTTGGAGAGGCTGCAATCATAGAAGGCAGAGGAGAGTGGATACAGAAGGGCATGCTGGGAAGGCAGAGGAGAAGGAAGCAGAGAGCATGCTGGGAGAGAGCGGGCCGAGTGGACTTCCTACCCCCCTGACCTCTCGCTGTTAGAGTATGATACTAAATGGCAAAGTAGGCCGACTTGCCATAGATCAAGCCCATATTATTCAGAAGTTTTTGGATTGAATCTGTGAAATTTGCTTCAGTAAAAATGCAATAGTCTTGTCCAACCAGCTCTTAGATTTACTTAGATTAAGATGAAAATATTCTGTATTTGTCCCACAGTGGAGAAATGTCAGTGTTGCATCACAAAGATTCAGAACAGTAGGAATGAGGAGCACACAGCACAAGATACATGAACAATAACTCTATACTAAAATACAATAAAATCTCTCTAGAGAAGAATAAGTATAATTTCTTTGTAAAGCCCTAAATCACAGTATTTGTCTTAGAGGACTTTACAAAGTTGTCAATTCCCCAACAACAGATCAGAGAATCAAATGCAATAGCAACAAACGTCCTTAGAGTCATATGTTTAAGTACTTGGTCCTTTCCCTTTTATTTCCCATATCCTAATACAATATAAAATGCCTGTAATGTTTCCCAGTTGTGTGATATTGTGTTATTATCAAAGTATTTCCCTGAGGGCTCAGGTGTCCCTAAAGCCGAGGGTCCATTCTGTCTGATTGAAGCAGACCCATGCAGTCCAGGGTCAGTGGGGCGAAAGTGTTCCTCCTTCCTCTAAGCACTTCAGACCCATTCTTCTTCCTGTTCCTCGGCTTTGAACCATCTGCCTGTGGCGCTCCTCGAGGTGTAAAAGCCAGTGGGTCTGTGTGAGGGGTTTTGTCACCTCTTTAATGTATCCCAGGTGTGTACATATATACGTGTGTGTGTGTGTGTACATGTGTGTGTGAACGTGTGTGTGTGTTTGTGATCGAGAGGGGCCCTGAGTCTTTGTGCTGTGCTAGCATACTGCACCACGCTGCGCCACAGAGACCAGGTAAATCCGATTACTCTTGCGCCGCTGTGTGTCAGTGCTTAATGTGGCTAAATGTGGTGGCACCTGCCGCCTCCCCACACCTGGACTCCGGTCGTTAGCGCGGCGACGGCAAAGCCCTGGGAGGCGTGGGAGTCGAAACACAAAGATCCAAAAGGGGGCTTTACCGTCAGGGGTCCATGCTCTCACTAAGTCCCCAGTATCCACCCAGGCCTCTGCTCTGCTCTCCCACTCGGCATACGTCCACTGTTTACTCTGGTTTTACACCCACTTCAAGAACCACTGTGGAAACATAGCCTCTTTTGTTAGCGCTAAAGCTAATCGTGGTGATGCCTTGAGTCTTAGCCGCTTTTCTTGGGCAAACACAGGATAAGAGTCCATATCCTTCTTACCACAACACTAATACATGGGGCTTTATTGCGGAGAGAAGGATTGGCAGGATTAATGAGGGGGGAGTGTGTGTTTTAAGATTTTAATTGTGTGTAGAGTGAATGGGATGTGCGGCAACAACATTTGTTTATATTGTGTTACGATTAGGCGGTCAGCAGTCCTACAAAAGTCTTGAGCTTACTTGCTGGCTTTCTCCAAAGGGGCTGTTTCTTATATAAAGTACCACATTTCTTTAACAAATCTTTCTCAAACAAAACAGTTTTCTGCAGACGTTGACTTCTCATTCATTCATACCCCATTGGTCCTCAAGTCTTTCTCAAGTCTCCTTTTAAAAGTCTTCTGCTGGTCTCTCTGACAAGGCATAATCCTCTGAGCAAAGCCCCTCTGTCCTGGCTTGATCTCAGAAACCAAGTCTTTCTAAGCAGCAGGAAGAGAGGGGAGAAACAGAAACTGGAGCACCTGGAGCAAACCTACACAGTACTTGGAAACGTGCAACATCAACACCAAAAACACCAAATTCTACTTATCGTCAAGGGTTGTTTATGATCAAGAGAAGGGTCACCAGAGGAAACTCAGTAACACACACCTGTAGATAGATAGAAACACATCTATTCATACAAGAAAATAAATACATAATTATCAAAGTTACTGTAATGAAATGGAACAGCAGCAAAGGTGGAACATAGTAATATATAAAAGTATCTTGGGTCTTTCCGTCTTTGTTCTTCATGTCTATAGGTACATATACTTTTTCTGATCTGTTTTTTCAGACCAGAAAAAAAACCTTCCTTTTTCCAAGCTAATAACCGTGTTGCGCTTTAAACTCACTTCAAAACAACTATTTTCTGCAGACTTGGACTCTCTCATTCATTCATACCCCATTGGTCCTCAAGTCTTCCTCAAGTCTCCTTTTTAAAGTCTTCCGCTGGTCTCTCTGACAAGGCATAATCCTCAGAGCAAAGCCCCTCTGTCCTGGCTTGATCTCAGAAACCAAGTCTTTCTAAGCTGCCGGCGGAGAGCAGAGGTGCGGTCATGTCAAGGCAGAATTCCTCCACATGTACCAGGGCTAACCTCCGCTCTGAGCCCAGCTAGAGGTGACCGCAGCCTGGATCAGAGCGGCCCTTGGGCTGGGGGCTGTCTCAGGGTTAAACTCCAAAGAGCCGAGACGCGCTGATCTCAGGTCTACTCGGCCGTGGCGCTCTCAAGTCGCTGGCCTGGCGTCAGTCTGTCGGCCTTAATATCAAAATGCAGCTGACCAGTGAACTGAATGAGCTGGCTGTCACCGAGGAGAACGTGATCCACACAACAACGACCTCAGGCCCTCTACAGTTAATTACAGTGCGCGCTCATTCGATTCATATGGACCTTCACTTTTATGTCGGGAGAAAGCTGCAAGCTAAGGGATAACGTTCATTGCAAATATCTGTATGATATTTGAATTTTCTCTTGTTTTAACTCATACCTTTAGATATTTACGTTACCAAGAAACAACAGGTGTTGAACTGGACAGAAAACAGAAGTACATGAAGCGATTATTCCATTTATTAAGTATTTTTAAAATTCAAAAACTAATATTGTAATCGATGAATCGTTATCTGCTCCAAGAGAGATCAGAGAGAGACTAGAGAGAGACCAGGGAGTCCAGAGAGAGAGACAGAGAGAGAGAGAGAGAGACCAGTGAGAGACCAGGGAGTCCAGAGAGAGACCAAAGAGAAAGCCCAGATAGAGATCAGAGAGAGAGAGAGAGATAGACAAGAGAGACCAGAGAAAGACCAGGGAGTCTAGAGAGAGAGACCAGAGATAGAGAGAGAGAGAGAGACAAGAGAAAGACCACAGAGACAGTAGAGAGAGACCAAAGAGAAAGCCCAGAGAGAGATCAGAGAGTCCAGAGAGAGAGATCAGAGAGCGAGAGATAGAGAGAGAGAGAAAGGGACCAGAGAGAGACCACTGTCCTTGTAGTACTGAAGCCCCCGCTGAAAGACCATAACTAATAACCCTATGGTGACACCCTATGGTGACACCATCACCATAGGGTCTTGTTCTATAGTAACATTAACTAAAAGAATCGTATGAATCAGCGCTTTCCCTTTTTTTCAGAAATTAAAAAGTTGTGTTATTCCAGACCGAGCCTCTTTCCAAGTTAATAACCACGCTGCACTTTTCTCCTGCACTTCAAACTCCACACGCTCGCTGGCCGGGGATCTGTTTAAACACACTGCCCCCAAAGAGCGGCGCCCGCGGTGCGGAGGACACGTGCCTGGTTCTAAGTGTTTGCCTTTGTGATTGTTTCAATATTGGCTTTTGAGCAGTGGCACGTTGTAGTCCCCCAGCATTGTGAGAAGTGAGAGAAGTGAGAGAGGCCTGGGGCTACACTGCGGGCGATGGAGAGGGACCCCTTCCATCCAACGCTTTCATCAAGAAAGAACAACACAGGCCACGCTCTGCCCGGTCCACTGCACCAGGGATAATCAGATCATCCTCTTTTATACAGCTTATTAGAGACTTCTCGTGGTGTAAGACAGGCCGTGCTCTGGCGTGTATATATGCGCGCTGATTTCAAGGGGTTAGGCAGAGTTGGAAGTTGCTGGAACGCTCACTTTTAGCCTGGAGGTCGCCGGGTGCTAGTGCGAGAGACAGAGAAGGGAATATCTCCAAGTATGAGCTGCTGATGGTGAACAATGACAAGATTAAATGCGAACCGACTAAAGAGGAATTAAGAGGAACGTTAAGATCCTAAGTGTGTTTGTCTGTATCATGGCAGCAACATCTGTCTGGGCGTTTTTGAATGGCGTTCTTCTAATCACGTCTTCACTGTGCGGCGACAATGGCGTTGGTGTGATTAGAATAAGGCTTTGCGGAGACTTGTCAAATTCAATGGTTGCTCACGGCTGCGACTGGGGATCATCAGGACAGACTGTAAAAGAACCACGAGGACGTCTTCAGATGGATCAAGAGAACATCATGCACTAAACTGTGACCAAAGTGCGTCAGGAGCCAAAACACAATGTAGACAATAGACAAACATTATGTTATAGTATTACAATATTATTCAGTTTATTCAGTAAAACATAAATGCTTCAAAAATGAGTCATATCTGAAGCTGAATTAGGGATGTAAATAACTATGAATTTTCATGACCAACCACCGAGCCTCATTAACCGGTTGAAACCGGTTAACCGCGTAGTAAAAAATATTCCACGTTCTTTGAAATAACAGCCATTTCGAGCCGCATACTTTTCATAAGTGCAGCTCTGCGTTCTACTGGATCAGAGCCGAGACAGCGGCGCCAAAACCCGCAACAACTTTGGTACCTTTGCGCACAGAGAACTGCTTTTTTAATCTTTCCATACTGCTGTGCTCCTGGTTAACAGTTTTTAGCAACAAACAACGGCTCGTTCACATGGTCAGAGCAGCGAGTGACGAGCCGCGTCTCGCAGATCTCCGCTAAAGTTTAAATAAAGTGATGTGTGTGGAGCTGATCTAATGCCAAGTACCAGCAGCACAAACATGTTCCCATGTGGTTTGACTGGAGCCGTGTATTTGGATACTTTGGGCTGCGTGACACAGAGGAGCGCGACAGACCGGTATGTGTGTGTGTACAATACATGTATGTATGTGTGTGTAAATATAAGCTCCAATGTAGTTCTAACCCGCGCTAGTGTGCAACTTTGGCGGACAGAAGGGAGAGATGATGCGTGTGGATGTTACGTATCAATGGAGGGGGGAAAGTGTGTGTGTGTGCACACGGCATGAGAGTCGGCCCGGAAACTTGACTGTCCCAGATTTTAGCTGCATGATCCTGAAATGCAGCCTTCTCATGTCCAGACTCTGGGACCAGCAGAAGCCCAGTCCCTGTGCTCCTCAGAGTCCCAGGAGGAGGCCAGTCCCTGTGCTCCCTGTGCTCCTCAGAGTCCCAGGGGGAGGCCAGTCCCTGTGCTCCCTGTGCTCCTCAGAGTCCCAGGAGGAGGCCAGTCCCTGTGCTCCCTGTGCTCCTCAGAGTCCCAGGGGGAGGCCAGTCCCTGTGCTCCTCAGAGTCCCAGCAGGAGGTCAAACAGTTCAAACTCAAGAAATGCAATGACAGAAAAACCCATAGAGCCATTGGTCCATAAGGGGCAGGGAGCTATGTCCATAAATGTCCTGGATCATCACCGCTGTCCATAGGCCCTCCTGCATCTGCAAGGAACAACTAAAAAATAACCTCATTAGGAACATACATGTAATTATTTTAACACACTAATATCAAGTACAAACGTGTAACTAAATTGTAATGCCCTGAGTAGAGCACTGAGAGTTAATTTCCCACACTGTAACTTAAAACACCCCAGACTCTTCTCCAAGTCTCCGCTCCACCCAGACATCGCCCTATGACACGTTCCTTGTCGCCCAATCTCACCTCCTCTCTTCTTCTTCTCTCATTTGCATTCCTTTAGCAGAGCAGGCCAGATAAGCTCTCGCATCCCTTTGAGCCGGCGTGTATCTCGCTAACGTCTCCAGAGAACGACAAGTTTACATTGTTCTCCGGCAAAAGGGCGCTTGATGTAGACGTTATAATTAAAGCCTTTTTAGCAGCCGGGCTGAAACACACAGTCCCGGTCTGTGGAGAGAGTCGGCGAGTGGGAGAATAAAGTGAGAGTAACGAGGCAGAGAATGAAGAGACACTTGAAAGAATAGAGCTGGAGGAGGTCAGGGCCCATCACAGGCTTTAATGTTGCCTTCAAAGATGCCGGGGACAGGTGGCAGCTCCAGACAATCTCACAGCACACAGCGGCATCCTCTCAGGAGCCGATAAGGGAGTCCTCCATCCACACACCCCCCATCTCCCCTCTGCCCACCCCTCCTCTTCCTCTGCCTCTTCCTCACTCACTGTGTCGGCGATCTCCCAGACAGCGGGAAGCAGAGGGGCACGGACTTACAACCACCTCTTGGAATGACATCATGGGAGTGTGAGGTCGTCTTCTTGGGCATGTTTAGAGCTGCAGCTTTAGACAAGTTGTTGTTGGGTTTAATTCAATTCCATTCAATTAATTCTAGCCCTAAATCTCAACAGTTGTTTTCTCGGAGGACTTTACAAAACCCTTGAATTCGCCAACACAGATCATAGAATCAAACAGTGCAAACACAAGAAATGCAATGATAAAAACACATAAGGGGTAAAGACCTTCGTTGAATGTCGAATTTCCTGGATCAGGTGAAGGCATGCATAAAATAATGTCTTAAAATTACTACTGTATACGTACAAGTTCACACGATAGACACTCCTCCTTCCACCTCCTCCTCCTCCTTCCACCTCCCATGCCTGCTCTGTATGTTCTTTACTTTGAAGCTGCTCAGCATAGTCATACATAGAGCTCCAGCCTCAGGGGAGTAACTCTGCCTCAGTACCAGCCCACGGGGCGACTGGCCCGGTGGACCGCTGGGATCCCACTCAATCATAGCCTCGGCTTCTCCTGCGCCGCCACTTCCAGGTCTCATTAAAACCGGGGCTAATCCTTTTTAAGGTTTTTCACGGACCCCGGTTTGTCTTTCTGGCCAGGCACGCTCAAAGCCCCTCGGCTCCACCTGCTCCACAAAGACCCAAACGACTGTGACACTAGTTTTGTGGCTCCGGTTTGGGTCGGCCTTCTTCCCCCTGTGCTTTCTGCCTCTTTCCGCCCGCTCCCGTCTCCCTTGATAGTACCTAGGCGTGGTTGTAAGTCTTTGAGGATTATTTGGGGTGGAATCTGTTGACAGCTGTGTTGTTAAACGGATTACAAGTTCGTCCTTGTTTTGGGAAGCTGCGAGGAGGGAAAGGGGAACTGTTTTGAATAATGAGATGGAGAAAAAAAGTCTAAACTGGATTAGGTTCAAGAGTTCTATACACTATACAGGCTGTATACACTATATACAGCCTGGAATAACAAAACACTATTGAATTAAACTTGGTCTTACATGTGCCACATCTGCATTGTTAGCTGACAAACACTAAAACATCAGCAACTCTTTACCATCTGAAAAACATGAAAAACATCGCTAGAACAAGAAATCTAGAGTCTAAAGCAGACTTGGAGATTCTTTTTGTCTCCAGTCGGTTTGGCTACTGCAACTGCTGCACACTGGTCTCTCCACATAGTTCTAAACCAGCTGCAGTACATTCAAAACACCGCAGCTTGAGTCCTGACAAGAACCAGGAAGTACCATCACATTAGTCCAGTCCTCAGGTCTCAGCACCTGTGGCTCAAAGAATAGACTTTATATCAGCTCTGTTTGTTACAAGTCTCTCCACGGTCTCGCACCAAAATACTTCTGAGACATGTTAGAGCCATAGCCAGCTCGTCCCTGGCTATGATTAAGTCTTATCAAGCTCAGGACAAAACATCTTTCTGAAAATGTGAGACAGACTTCTTCTCTGACCATTTTCAAATCCAGGTTAAAAACAGCTGTGCATACGACTGAACGATTGTATTTTGTATCCACTCTTTTTAATGTATCGTGAGTATTTATAATTCTAACGCCTTGTGTGAAGGATCACTTTGAGTTTCCTTGTTTATTACCTGTGCTATACCAATAAACTAGCCTTGCCTTAAAGCTTCATAAGTCCACTTTCAATCCAAGCGGGTGAAAGAAAGCGTAAAGGTGATGGCGAATCTCTCTGAGCGAAGAATACAGCCGGATTCCAGATGTTTCTTCTCTCATAATTGGTGTGGAGTCCGTGGAGTCTGGCCCCGCTCGGCTCCAGGGGCCATTTGTCTGATTGTTGTGACACTGGGCTTTGTCTTCCCCCGGTGTCTCCACGGTTTCCTCCATTAGGCCAAATAATGGTCACACTCGCCCCCAGAGAACCGCGGTGACGGCGTCTAATGCCGGCTTCAAAACTGCTCCAGATACATGTTGTAAAGCCTCCGACTCCATCCGTCTTCTGTGTTCGTTAAAGCTGAGAGCAGTAAGTTGTGTGTGTAGCAACAGACACAGGCCACGGTTAGAAAACACATAGCATAGCACATTTTGGGTTAGGATTTGAACTTATCATAACATTTAGATATATGTTAATGTCATTGTAAGCTCCAGCTCAAATAGATAGATAGATACTTTATTGATCCCCGTCAGAGAAATTCAGGTGTCCAGTAGCAGCAAACGTAAAATTGATCATTCAAAAAAGCTAACAATAGTAATAATCAGCAACAGAGGTGGAGTATCCTCTGGGTGGAGCAGGACAGGTCACAAGGTGGAGTAGCCTCTGGGTGGAGCAGGACGGGTCACAGCAGCAGAGATGGAGTGGTCTCTGGGTGGAGCAGGACGGGTCACAGCAGCAGAGGTGGAGTAGCCTCTGGGTGGAGCAGGACGGGTCACAGCAGCAGAGGTGGAGTAGCCTCTGGGTGGAGCAGGACAGGTCACAGCAGCAGAGGTGGAGTAGTCTCTGGGTGGTGCAGGACGGGTCACAGCAGCAGAGGTGGAGTAGTCTCTGGGTGGAGCAGGACGGGTCACAGCAGCAGAGGTGGAGTAGCCTCTGGGTGGAGCAGGACGGGTCACAGCAGCAGAGGTGGAGTAGTCTCTGGGTGGAGCAGGACGGGTCACAGCAGCAGAGGTGGAGTAGCCTCTGGGTGGAGCAGGACGGGTCACAGCAGCAGAGGTGAAGTAGCCTCTGGGTGGAGCAGGACAGGTCACAAGGTGGAGTAGCCGCTTGGTTCGGAGCATTTTCTCTGCTCTAGTCCAAAGTAAAATTAATCAGATTTTCATCTGATCCACTTGGTTTGGACCATAAATCCTCTCTGCTCTGGTCTGGACCAGTGCAAAACCATGAACACTGTACTGCAGCAAACATCTCAGGTAGAAAAAAACAAGACAAATAAAATGTTTTAAGCACAAAACAACAGCTGTTTGAGAGACACTTAAAGAGACACTAAAAAACCTGCATAGCCTCGTCCAGACCCAGGCCTCGTCCAGACCCAGGCCTCGTCCAGACCCAGCCCTCGTCCAGACCCAGCCCTCGTCCAGACCCAGGCCTCGTCCAGACCCAGCCCTCGTCCAGACCCAGGCCTCGTCCAGACCCAGGCCTCGTCCAGACCCAGGCCTCGTCCAGACCCAGCCCTCGTCCAGACCCAGCCCTCGTCCAGACCCAGGCCTCGTCCAGACCCAGCCCTCGTCCAGACCCAGGCCTCGTCCAGACCCAGGCCTCGTATCAGCGTCCGCCTCCTCTGTCGTCCTCTGATGCTATCGGGATCGCGCCCTGACCCCGGTCGACGCCGCAAATCAGAATAATTTTTCATGCCACGCGATAAATATTCATCACACACGAGAAACTGATTGTAGACACAGGAGCGAGAGAGAAAAGAGTGAGAAAGAAGCACGTTTCATTTCTAGCGTGACCTTAAATGCTTAAATAAAGATCTCAAAAATATCCATCCCCCCAGGCAAGTATAAACCATACAGGGAGCAGAATATGTAGCTAAGTCGTGAGCAAAAAGTTAGAAGCAAAAAGAAAGAAACAAGGTGTTAGAGAAAAATAATAACACATTTATAATGATAATATCAATATTTGCTTGAATTTTAATGGTTTTTAGCTTAAGAGCTTCTCCAATGAGACAAAGCCGATCAGTCTTCAGTCTGAAAGAACTGTTGCATTATTTTCTAATTTCAAGGGAGTTATTCTTGGATGTTTTTAAAATAATATCATTTTGCTTTGTCCCATTGGAAAATCTTGTTTTAAGACGGCAAATTAGGAAATGCTAAAACAGTGCAATAATGCCGCGCTGTGCTAGCATACATTCCTGCGCTGCTCTCCGTCAAAAGTAATCTGTTTGTCTAGACTGAACAAGCGGTCGATGCCAGTCCTCTCCCTTCTTGCTTCTTACAAGTCGATGCATATTTGCCCAAGGACGCACTTATCCACTGCATTTACAGACACATCATCTGTATTAGGACATTTCTCGGCCCATTTTCTCCATCAAGAACATTATAAAATACATAAATGTGGGTCATATGTTAATCACTGTATGCTAGTGTTTATATTTCAATCCAAGTCCTTCCTGATCCACTTTATTATTAGAGGAGAACCTTAGAGTAAGTCGACTTAACACTACTGATCTCTCGTGTCTCACTCTCTGGTCTCTCTCTGTTTTCTCTCTCCCCTGGTCTCTCCCCTGGTCTCCTGTTTCGAGGTACAGCTGCTGTTCCCTCCGGCCTCTTCATCATCCTGTTTGTTTACACTCAGCGCCGCTGTTTGGACATTTAAATAACATTTAAATAACATGTAAATAACATTTAAATATCATGTAAATAACAGTTTCCGGCCTCAGTGGGATTTCGCTGTTTACTTTTCGAGTGCTTTGCTTAATTACAGGTCCCAGATTGTTTCAAGTTTAATGGGCTAATTACCGCTGTATAAATTAGTCTAATGTTCCCGTGCACTGAGCTGCACACTGTAGATTCAGAGGAAGACTTCACCTTTCTCCATTGATCACTGCTACTTTGTATCTTTAGTATCCACAGACGAAGGCAGAAATTAACGATTGTTTTGATAATCCATTAATTTCTTAGTTTTCGATTCGTTTTCTTAAAAAAAAACTATAATAATACATTGGGTTTATAGTTTTTTTTGTGTTTAAAGTAGGGCTGGGATAAACGATTATTTTTTAAACGATTAATCTAGCGATTATTTTTTCGATGCATCGATTAATCTAACGATTATTTTTTTTGCTTCGATTCGATTTCGATTTGATTCGATTCTCGATTATCTCCCCATTAATTGACTAATATTGATGTATACATGTTGATTTAAATATTTTAATGAAAAAAACATGAATTCCTTCACAAAAAATATTTATTGCTTGCTCTTAAAATTAAAAAATAAGACATTCTTAGAGGTAGCATAAAACCTTGAAGCCTTGAAAACACAGCTTACTGAAAAAAGTGCATCTTATCATTCTTGAAACAAACATTTGATGCTTAGCATTCAATAAAAATATGAAAAAGTTCAGCCAAATACTTGTGTAGAGCAACTAAAAGAAAACAGTAACCAATGTAAACTTGAAGGCTTTAAGCTAAACAAAGAGTGCTTTTCCAGCAAAAACAGTGGGAGCCATCAGCCTGTCATGGCGTCCTTCCTGAACCAACAGAGTTTAACATTTAAGTTGAAGACACATAGGCCTATATTACTGAAGTCCATTAATTAAAGTGCATCTCTTAAATTCTTCATTCATATAAAAATAACAGTCAAAACTCTGCCACTCACCTTTTTCTTAAACTCAAAATTCAAAAATAAAATTCAAGTAAGAGTGTACGAGAGAAAAACAATGCATTGTGTAGCAAATAAAAAGGTCAACCAGTCATCCTTTCTTTTAGAGTTACTGAAAGAATACAGTAGAAGTCATCTCAGAGGACTTAAAACAACATTGAAGTCACCAACACAGATCAGAGAATCAATCAACAGTTAAACCCATTAAGGATATTGAACACATGTTGAAAAATGTCCATATACGGCGGGCATGACAGTGAATAATACATGTAGGGGCTATTACGGGCGCCAATATTCCGTTTGATACAAAGAAAGACAAACTAGTTTTAAGCTGCAGAGTTGCCACAGGACGCGTCATCAGCCTACGTCATCAGCCGCGGACTGCTATGAAAACATTAGCTTTGTGGTTTCACAGGCGCAGTTGACTAAACTTTGCACGAAACTTTGACTCTTAAAACCCACATGTGACAAAACGGAACCATCAACATCTCGCCTCAAATTGCATTAAAAGTGACAGTCGTGTCTGAATTCGTTCGTATTTTAACTTTTAAAGAAATTCACGGTCCGCCATCTTGGTTTGCTTCGGCTGCCGTGAGACGCGCATGCACAGGTTTGCATTACATGATAAACAGCTGAGGCTGTGCATCTCTTCAAGGCAGTGTATCTCAGCGTTACACCGGCTTGCACTTCTCTAACACGGCACTCGCATTGCTACCGCTCGCCGCCATCTTTGTTTTGTGTGTGACGCACCGACGCGCATATTATACGTCGGTGTATTTTTTGCGTCAACGTCACCGATTACGTCGACGCGTTGTCCCAGCCCTAGTTTAAAGACTTTAGTTCACTCCAAACACATTGGTGATAAACTACTACTGTCGCCACCGCTGCCCTGGGGCACACTGACACAAGCGAGGCAACCAGTCTGTGTCTTGGGCCCATCCCACCACCACCAACCATGTACACACCCGCTGTGGCACCTGGTGTTCCCAGAGGTCTCCCATCACAGCACTAACCAGGCCCTGAAGTGGCTCTCTCACTTTAGATCGAGAGCAGAGAGATAGAGAAACGAGATGTGGGAGTGACCAGCAGAGGCTTCAACTGGGTTAACTTAGTGATTAGAGACTGAACGAGACCAGAGAGAGACCAGAGAGAGACCAGAGAGAGACCAGAGAGAGACTAGAGAGAGACCAGAGAGAGACCAGAGAGAGACTAGAGAGAGACCAGAGAGAGACCAGAGAGAGGCCAGAGAGAGACTAGAGAGATGCCAGAGAGAGACTAGAGAGAGAGACCAGAGAGAGACCAGAGAGAGACCAGAGAGAGACTAGAGAGAGAGACCAGAGAGAGACCAGAGAGAGACCAGAGAGAGACCAGAGAGAGACCAGAGAGAGACCAGAGAGATGCCAGAGAGAGACTAGAGAGAGACCAGAGAGAGACCAGAGAGAGACCAGAGAGAGACTAGAGAGAGAGACCAGAGAGAGACCAGAGAGAGACCAGAGAGAGACCAGAGAGAGCCCAGAGAGAGACCAGAGAGATGCCAGAGAGAGACTAGAGAGAGAGACCAGAGAGAGGCCAGAGAGAGACTAGAGAGAGAGACCAGAGAGAGACCAGAGAGAGACCAGAGAGAGACTAGAGAGAGACCAGAGAGAGACCAGAGAGAGACTAGAGAGAGAGACCAGAGAGAGGCCAGAGAGAGGCCAGAGAGAGGCCAGAGAGAGGCCAGAGAGAGACCAGAGAGAGACCAGAGAGAGACCAGAGAGAGAGACCAGAGAGAGACCAGAGAGAGGCCAGAGAGAGACTAGAGAGAGAGACCAGAGAGAGACCAGAGAGAGGCCAGAGAGAGGCCAGAGAGAGGCCAGAGAGAGACTAGAGAGAGACCAGAGAGAGACTAGAGAGATAGACCAGAGAGAGACCAGAGAGAGACCAGAGAGAGACCAGAGAGAGACTAGAGAGAGAGACCAGAGAGAGACCAGAGAGAGGCCAGAGAGAGGCCAGAGAGAGACTAGAGAGAGAGGCCAGAGAGAGGCCAGAGAGAGACCCAGAGAGAGACCAGAGAGAGACTAGAGAGAGAGACCAGAGAGAGACTAGAGAGAGAGACCAGAGAGAGAACAGAGAGAGACTAGAGAGAGAGACCAGAGAGAGAATAGAGAGAGACCAGAGAGAGACTAGAGAGAGAGACCAGAGAGAGACTAGAGAGAGACTAGAGAGAGATACAAGAGAGAGAACAGAGAGAGACCAGAGAGAGAGACCAGAGAGAGACCAGAGAGAGATCAGAAAGAGAAACCGAAGAGAGACGAGAGAGAGACGAGAGAGAGACCAGAGAGAGAGACCAGAGAGAGACCAGAGAGAGACCAGAGAGAGACCAGAGAGAGGCCAGAGAGAGACCAGAGAGAGACCAGAGAGATACAAGAGAAAGGGACCAGAGAAAAAACAGAGAGAGACCAGAAAGAGAAACCAAAGAGAGACCAGAGAGAGACTCGAGAGAGAACAGAGAGAGAGAAACCAGAGAGAGACTGGAGAGAGAGAGATTTGAGAGGGACCAGAGAGAGACCAGAGAAAGGGACCAGAGAAAAAACATAGAGACCAGAAAGAGAAACCAGAGAGAGACCAAAGATAGACCAGAGAGAAACCAAAGAGAGAGACCAGTGTTGATTGACAGCTGAAGTATCCTGTCTTTGGAGAGAGTTCATTATGAGAGAGATTAACCAATGAGAAGACTGTAAATGAGGCTCTTTAGGCTTCATCCTCCCCTCGTCATCCTCTTCTTTTGATCCAAGTGTCCAATTACGTCCTCGGTCTAATGACGGCGAAGCTCTCGGTCCCGCTCCGTGTTTGTGGAGAGTTAAAACTAACGAGCTAGGTCAAAGTTTCTCAGTAATTGCCCTTTCATTAGGAGCCGTCTGTAATCACGCCTTAATGACTCCGCTGCTCTAAAGCTGTGTTTATTTAATATTTCCACTGTGTAAAAGGTGGATTATTATGTTTTAACCCTTGTATTAT